TTCATACATGCTTAGATACTCAAAGGTGTTCTCTACATAAATCTGTTCTCGGATTTATTCTAGCTACTTTAGTTCACGGGAAAATTCAAAAATAAAAAGTATCTTAAACTTTTGCGGTCCACTTTACAGTGTAATCAATCTTTTTGCCATGCTTCCAGACCATGTGTAACTGTAATCACCCGGATAATCCTGTAGTGTTGAACATTTTATAGTTCTGTAGCACAAGACGAAGAACTCCTCTTTCTAATAAAATTTTGATCATTTCACTACCTGACAACATCCTCTTTCAAACGATAAATCAAATCACCAAATGTTTTCTAGTTGTTATAATGACCAATGTTATTGTACTTTGCTTGATTAATGGTTTGGAATCAGCTAACAGTTATGTCTGTCATAGGTCGTTCTATGGTGTTAATAGGCAAGGAATTCATTAGATGGACGATCGAATTTATATGTAATTAAATGAATATTACTGTAACAGAAGTATCTTTGTTTTATTCTTCGATGTTTCATGCTAAAATGTCTGACCGATTTCTATGAAATTGTAACTTAAGAGACAGATAGTCATTTTCAGTAGCCAGTTATCCATTTAGCCAATTATTTCTTAAGAAAGATAATATCCAGTATGAGCTTCCTCAATATAATAACAAGGTAATTAGAGTCACATAAGAGTGCCTGTTGCGAGTTTCTGTCTTAATGGAAAGACAACATGCGCAGAGATTTTTTTCAAATTCTTCATCTAATCCTCAAGGTGGACGATAGTTACTTCTCTCGAGCGTCAGAAAATGGAGTAGCCAGGTATAATTTGACACTCCGTTTCTGTTTTATTCTGTTTGATCACTCTATTCTGATTCTTTTTTCTTATATCAGCACAAGATGCTCATAGAGAACAATTTTTCTCTTTAACGAACACGGCAAGCAAAAGTTAAAATTATACAATTCAGTTTTGAAAATATAGAGCTGTCAATACCACAGTGTAAAGTTACATGGGTTTCACTTTACAATTTTAGTGGTTTCACTGGGAAAAACAAAAGTGCAATCTGGACACCTCAAACTATGATGTTCCGACAGGTGGTCAAGAAAATTATGTTGGTCAGTGCAAATTCATGAAATTCCCAAAATCAAACTGATGTCCATACACATTACTAACTTTAGTCTGTGATATTGATAGCTCTATATCTTAAAAACTAAAACGAACCTTTTTTCAGGAATATATCTCAATATATAGTACAAATTGTGTATTTCAGATCAGTATAAAAAGTGGAAAAGAGTCTTCTCTAGTTATTGTAGTTTGAAGTCGCGAAGTGGGCAGAATATAGAATAAATTCGCAGCCAGCACTGCTTCGTTGAACATAGAATAAATTTCAATAAGAATATAAAATTTTGCCTTTCCTTATTTTGTTCTTTAAAGAACAATAACGTTCTATATACTTTGTTAAAAGCGATAACGCTCTTTGGACGAGTGTGATTGCGGTAGAAAGAAGAAAAATGAAGAGGATGTTGATAGCTGATTTTGTACAAACATGTTTCCTCCACACATCTAAGTCTGTTGTTGCACTGGTCTTGAATAACATGTAAAAAAAATAACGACAAGAGGTCAGTTTCCTCTTTGGGTAGCTTGCTTGATTTATTCAGTCTAAGTCACAATAAAGTTAGGTCCGAATAAATAATACGTCTCCAATATTAATCTGTTCATCTTGGTTGCATACACTTGAGATATTATTGTATCTTATTTTGTGACTTTGGGTACTGCTTAGAGAAGGATAGTATACTTGTTTATTATCAATTAAAAGCTGTTTGTTTGAAGCAGACAGGCTTGCAGACCACGCATGAGTTAGATATGTTGCTTCTATTCTTAAACCATTAGAAGCTATTGTTGCCAAGCTGTAAAGTTCACCGTCATAGCCGTACCACTAAAGCAGAATCGATTCATTAAGTCCATTAACAAAACTTATACTGACTGGAGTATTATGAGCTAACGATTGAATTTCTAAAATAAGAAAACAAGCTTAGCTCTTTGTGATATGATTCAGAGACGTAGAAGATTTATTGGTGAACAGTGGAGTGTTCTATAAGCTACAAAACTTCTTAAATAATATAAAACTCTTAGCTTTCGGGTTGTCTTCGTTAATAATAAACAAAAATTAGAGCAGAAAAGTTTCGTTAGTATTGAGAAAAAATATTTGTAACTTGAAGTGATAAACGAATACACGCGTTGAATTTTAACACTCAGATTATACTGTAATGCACGCACAAGCAAGAGAATACCTTTGTTGAAAAAAAAATTCCGATTGAAAAATCCAGAAAAGAACAATTTGACGAAGCAGCTATTGCTTGTATTGTGAAAGATGGCAGAGCGTTTGGAGATTTCCAAAAGGAAAGAATGCAAAATTTTCTGGATATTGTTACGCCGGATTATTAAGGTCCAAGTCGTCCAACAGTGGCTAATAGATTGAAACAGTTATATACATCAAAACAAGATCAATTGAAAGACGAACTATTTCATATTGATTTTATTTCGTTAACTACAGATATGTGGAGAAGTAGTCGTCGTCGTTCATTTGTAGTTATAACAGCACATTACACGGATCAACAATATCGAGCAAAATCAATTATCTTAAGTTTTAAAGAATTTCGCCGTCGACATTTTAGTAGAAGAATATGTCCATTTGACACGAATCATAGAACAATATGATATTGCGAATAAAATTACATCCATTACAACAGACAACGGTGTAGATATAAAAAAAGCTACAATAAATGGTTTCGGTGTACGAATGTACTGCTTAGCACATGGTCTAAATCTTACATTACAAAACGGTTTATCTTTTCTTTTTTTTTTTAAACTTGTTCTTGTTTTTTTATAAAAAAAAAAATAGTTGTATTTAACTTCAACAAACAAACGCAGCTATGCTTGCAGACAAGTCTATGTTGCATAGTGCATAAAACGCTCAACAAAAACCTAGGAAAATACATGCTTTTTTATACATGCTATATGGTTAC